GAAGAGATACAGAGGCCCGTGAGGGTCAGGCTTCTTGGCGCTGTCTCTTCTTGTTAGTATATTCTCGCTTTTCTTGCCTACTAAAAGGAACTCTGGTTGCCTACTCACCAGTCACCTTGTCCAGCTTGAATTCTTCTCTCTCAGGAACACAAGAATTGCCACTGCTACTGAGGCTGGAGGGAATTTGAGACTTCTCCATAACAGCATGAAGTAAAAGCCAAGTAATCAGTGTGCCTAACTTTGACAGACTATAAGTTTTCTGTTCTACCTTTGCCATTACTTTGATGATTTATTATGCTGAGGGAGAAACATTTCAAGCTCTATTTAGTTCTATTTATTATTTAAAATTATGGTGAAAATATAGATATCGAGATAAATAAAAGGGAATGTAAATCCATCTGGTCCTGGGCTTCTTTTAGTTGGGAGATTTTGTATTACTGTTGCAATTTCTTTTGGGGTTATGGGTATGTTTAAGCTGTTAATTTCTTGGTTTAGATATCTGTCCATTTCTTTTAGGTTTTCAAATTTAGTAGCATATAGGTTTTTAACGTATTCCCTTATAATGTTCTGTATCTTTCTGGTGTCTGTTGTGATGTTTCCCCTTTCATCTCTGATTTTGTTGATTTGGAGATGCTCTTTCTTTCTTTTGGTTAACTGGGCTAGCAGTCTGTCAATCTTGTTTATTTTTTCAAAGAACCAGCTCTTGGATTCGTTGATTCTTTGTATTGTGTGTCACCCACCCAGGACCTGAAAACACCCACTAGTCACTCCCAAAGCTGAGTAAGACTGCCATGAGCAGCCAGCAAAACCCCCAGAAGAGAATTCACGAAATCTGCAGTGGTGGAGACAAGGAAAAAAATGTCTAGCTCTGCCCACAAGGGAGATGTACTTGGGAACAACCATCCTGGCAAATGGCACAGATGTTTCCAGATGGTGTCTTGCAGCAGTCACAGCCAGCACCACAAAAAAATATTGTCTCCAAGAAACTGGGATCAGTCTGTCTTCGTTTCCCCTCATCATGGGGTGGGGCAGATTCCAACAACCAGCTTTCTCACTCAGTGCTACTGAGTGAGAAATGTAAGCACAAGAGCTCCTGACATGTCTGTGAGTACATGCCACATAATGTGCTTTTGAAATCATAGTACATCTCTCAGGACAGACCTACAGTGTCTACCAGTGGGCTGTGGGAGTGCAAAACATCACACCAGGAGGGTCAACAGGCTCCTCAAAAATTTCCTGACTCTTTTTCTCCCCCAGTAGCCTGCGTAGCACCTCTGGTGCTATGTAAGTCAACCAGTAGAGAAAGAATTTCCTGTTCAAGATTGATTTCTCTATGCCGTGCGTCCAAAGTGAGTTGTGTCTACAACAACAGGTTCTTACTGCCTAGTTATGGTGGGGAGCAAAGAGCAATGGCAGTAGCCTGTGTTGTTTGGGGGGACTCTGGAGCTGCCCTGACCAATAATTCAGAGGGAGGGATCCCATATCTGCTGAGACTTTCATTTAATAACCCATGCATTCTGTGAACAGCATTGTTACCCATGCAGACTCCTTCCGTTCAAACTCTCATTAAAATATACATATTTATTAAATATATATATTAATTATCCTACAGACTAGTGGATTTGTGTAAGGCTTAGAGAAATGTATCCTTATTTTTGGCTAGCCCACTCCCTTCCTTCTCCTCTCCCCAACCCCCATTCCAAATTAAACTTTTTACCACCCCCCCCCAAAAAAAGAAGGGAATGTGTATTAAGACATAGTTTCAAAGGGAAAGAGTTTTACAGCCTTGCAGGAATGACGTGACAACTTATACCATACTGTTATAGAATATTGCTCTAGATATTGGATTGGATAAAACTGAGAAATAATTACCATTGCTTCCTTCCTTAATTTTTAATTCACTTTCATATGAATAGCGCTATAACAGATTATTATTGCTTCCCTTCCCTTGGTAACATCAAAATATTACATTAAAAATTCATGTTAATTGATAGTCTCTTATGGAGAACATTAATTTCCTGAGATTTATCTTAAAAAATTGACATATGCACTGATATTTATGTCAATTTTATTTGTTTCATTATTCAGAGAATGCCTAAATTTATCACAAAGGAATTATTAAAAATAACATCCATCCTCTAGTCTGAAATAGTTGTTTTTACATTTGTGCAAATCAAATTGAGAGCATATGAAAGCCCAGGTTTTTCCCCTCACAATACATTGTGACTTTGTCTAGCAAGTAATTGGGACATGTAATAAAGAAACTCGGTTTGAATAGTAAGTGGCTGCAGAGGCGGTACTATGTGAGAGAACGTCAGGCCAGGACTTACGTCAAAAGAAAGATGAAAAGAAAGCCTGTGAACGTAGAAGATGCTGCGTAATATCAAGGCAAGAAAAATGGATTTTACTGCCAGAAGGAATGCAAGAAAATACATCCGCTGCATCGTAGTAAGTTGGTTCTTGAGAAAACAAGAAGGTGAAACTCCAAGGAAAGCTATTAAAGCCTCAGAAACTTACTGGCAAATCTGATTACATGCATCATTTATTTGCTAACAGCCATTGTTTGGAAGAAATGTCTAATATGGTTCTTTTTTTCAAAAGCTCTACTCTGTTCTATGAAAGTTTCAGAAGGCAACAAATGTCTGTACTGACTGTTGGTTTCTGAAAGGGGGCAGAGGCATGGACTAAGACAATTCATGATTTTTTTTGGATGATGCCTTAATTTCAGGGAGGCTTTATTATACTTTCTGGAGATGATTCCAGTTGTACTGTTTGGCATCTCAACTATGTTTTCTGTTTCTTTAACTCAGTGGCACACAGTTTTATAAACTCATTTTTTACTGCATTTCTAATGAGCTTATAGTTCGTATAATTTCTTTATATGATAGACTCCTTGAAAATCCTGATCCATTAAATTAAAACTTCACCATGACTAATAAGCTGCAATTTTCTGAGAGATATTTTAAAAGATTTCTGAAAATACATGAATTGCCATTTCTCAAAAGATGGACATTATTTAATGCACTTGATGTTTTATCTCTTGCTATCTGTAATTATTCCCTCACACATCTACAGCTTTTCAACGTTATAGTGGATTACTGTGTTTGGAATATTTGAATTTAAAATCTGAATCCCAGGTATGGGAGAGATGGCATGGTGGTTAAGAGCTCATACTGTTTGTATTAGTTACTCTTCTGTAGCTGTGGTAAAACACCATGGCCAAGGCAACTTATGGAAGAAACAGTTCCAGAGTGATGAGTCCATCATAGGGGATGGGGAGAAGGCGTGGCAGGGGGCAGCTGGAGCAGAAATCTGAGCACTCACATTTTCAAGCAGGCACAGGAAGCAGAGAGAGCAACTGGAAGTGGGGCACGTTTATGAACTCTCAAAGCCCCCCTCCCAGTGATGTACTTCCTTCAGCTAGGCTACACCTCCTAAAGCTTTTATGCCCCTCCCCAAACAGCACTATCAACTGACTAAGTATTCAAGTACTTGAGTCTACTGGGTCTCTTCTCATTCAAACCACCGCAGTGCTCTTGTAGGGGACCTGAGTTGGGTTCTGACCACTCATGTCAGGCAGCTCATAACCGCTTGTAACTCCAGTTGTAGGGCATCTACCACCCTCCTATGGTCTTGCAGGCACCCTCACACACATGCCATTCACTCACACAGACAGACCCACAGATACACAGACACAGATGCCCACACATACATGGACATTGAGAAGGCTGGTATAGAAGAAACAGCAGTGCAATTTTAAAATGCAGTAAATAGGGGGCTGGAAATACGATTAAGAGCACTTGCTGCCTTTGCAAAGGACTTGTTCAGGTCACAGCACCCATGTTGAGCAGCTCCAGGGAACCCAATTCTCTCTTCTGGATTCTACAGGCATTTGCATTCACATGTATGAACCCCTCTTCCACATACACATAATTAAAATTAAATAAAAATTTAAAATGTAGTTAATGGCATAGATAGGAATGAAATAGCATACCTGTATGAACTCCAAAATTAATCTCCCTCAGTTAAAATGCATTTAAAAAATGGATACCACTCCATTGCTGCCATTTACTTAGACTTTCTAATGTTTTGTCTTAAATAACAAGGAAAAAAATCACAATTTTTAAAAATGAATTCAGTAAATGACTCAAAGAAAATATGACAAGTTGCTGACAGTGGTTATAGAAAAGTGACTCATTTTCATATTCCCATTGTTGTACTGTTTCCACACAATCCACAATGAAAATATTGTTTCTATTAATAACAAAATAAAATTTTACAAAAATAGCTTTTGTTGCATGAGCATGTAGTGGTTGATAGATTTCCTTATGTAAATGTTTTAGGAGAAAGAAAATGAGTGCAAAATGATTAAGAAATAATTTCATAGTGTGATGTAACTAAAGTAAGAAAAAAGACAGCAAAAGTCCCAGGTGAAGAAGTAAACAGCAAGGCAAAAAATGACTTTATTGTTGGATGTTATTTAACAGTCTTCTTGCTCCTGGGTTAAATACTAAAGCAGATTTTGCCTGGTTTTACCCACAAACCTAACATGAATACCCCTTACTAGTTACTGTAGAACCGTTCTGTTTCAGGCTTCAGGTAGTGACATACTGGCAAACGTATACAACTTCTGTATTCCTCTCAGTTGTCCTACTTAATCCAAAACCACTCTGGATACAGCACTCTATTCTAAAAGCAGAGAATTCTCATGTATTAACTGGACAATTAAAATAAGGAAAATGAAACTAAACATTTCTGGAAGTAAAGAAACTCTTGGTTTTCAGTAAATGTATTTGAGTTTTCTTAACTTGTCCTGATTTAAAACAAGGATGTAGTAGAAAGGGAAAAAAATCAAAATCTTAAAATATGTCTTTGAATAATCTGTTCATTATCTATTACTTTCCTAAAAATAATGTATACCCTTAGCTGTAACTTATTTTTGAAAGACTCATCATTAGTTACAACCTTGAAAAATGAATTAATTTAGGATGGTTTCCCACCATGGCCTCTAAGGAAGCTGCAGCTGCTTCTACATCGCTGCTGTTGTCAAACGGGGGCAGTTACATTTTTTTCGTTTTTTTTTTTTTCCCGTGACAGTCATGCTTCTGTTTGCTGTAACTGATTTGTAACATTTTCGAAAAAGACAATTCTATGTTACCATTTTTCATGGGTAGTCAGAGATCTTTATTGGCATAGTCTACAAGCCAACAAAAATGTTTGAGTCTTAAATATGGAATTATCAGAATAAGGCTTTTGGAAGCAGCTTGTTGATCCTGAGGACCCAACAGCACGTTTATTGGATACGTTCTTGGGATAATCATTGCCACATGGCAGTGATTTGTGTTATTGACCTGAATGAAAGCTAAAGCCAGTCAGACCTGAAGATCAGGAAATGGAACTAGAAGATCATTTTTGATAATTGTGTTATCATTCATCTTAGAAGTAAATTTATTAAAATAAATTTTAAAAATACTTTCACATTGGTACTGAGAGAAAGGATAACCAGTAGACCATTCCCATTTCTATAGGACTGAGGTGATATAATAGAAAATAAAGAACACTAGGAATAGAGATTTATTTTCATCTTACATCATTTTTTAGATACAATTATTAGACGACAGTTACTACATATGCCTTACCAATACAGTGGCACCTTGAGAAATACAGTTTGTAATTGCTGTTCCAAATATCACCATGAACTTTTAAACAACCATAGATTTATTTCCTAATTTAGGTAATTGAATTAAAACACAGACTTATTTTTTTCCTGAAAGAAAATAAATTGGATAAACAGACTTAGAGCTTGGACAGAAACCAGGATGCTAGCAAGTTATACAACTACTAATGTAGTGTGCAAAAATTCTGCCATAAACATTCTTGATCAGAAGAGAAACTGAAAATCTAGGTGGGGATGGCATGTGATTACATCTTTTGACTTTAAATTCTCTTAAATAATATAGACAGTAGCAGACAATTTTTACCCTATTCAAGAAAGAAAATGAAAGTTTTGGGAGAACTTTATTTTATTATCTTACTTGCAATTTTATTTTAGTATTAAGAGATAAAAGAAAATATTCTGCAGAGGGAAAACAGCAGGATTTTTCAGTAAAGGAAAAAATATATGTACTTGCTGATTAGTAAACAAAAATAAAAAAATAATGGATAACTCACAAAAGAATATGTATAGATTAAAACAGAGAACTTTCATTATTATACAATGATAAAACTGTAAGAAAATTTTACTTCTCTAGTAATTTTTTTGATTGATTGATTGAATTTTTATGTGCACAAGTGTTTTGTCTGCATGTATGTAAGTGCACCCCTGTATGCAATGGAAGTCAGAAGAAGGCATTGGATCCCCGGAACTGGAGTTAGTTAGGGATGGTTGTTAGCTGCCATGTGGGTGCTGGGAATCAAACCTGGGTTCTCTACAAGAGCAGCCAATGCTCTTAATCACAGAGCCATCTCTACAGAACAAGTTTTACCCCCTAAGTGGATGAAACTTTAAAAAATGTTCTTCTAATGAGAGTATGCATGAAAATGTATACAACTTTGAAATTTGTAGTTGGAAGCAATAAGCAGTGTAGCATCTTCTAGAGAAAAAGAGGCAACATACATCGAGCGTCATATATTTTTTTGCAGTCATATGCTCTAATTATTTTTGGAGAATTTGAGTAAACAACTGTTATACAAAACAATATTTGAGATTGGGAATATTTGAAGTTAATTAAAATGATGAAGCATCAGGAAAATTGAACAGTCCAAAATAAAGTATTAATTAAATAAGTTATGTCAAATTAGCAGAAAGAAAAGCTATATAATAAATGCATCTTAATATAAACAGTTACTTAATTGCATGCATCCATGCACAAGTCTTTAAATATTTATTCATAGCATCAAGTTCAACTTTGCCTATGTAACCACTGCCTGAAACAATGTCATAAAATTTATAATATTCCTAGTGTATTTCCTACAGTTCAAAGAGCTAGTGCTTTTGTAGTTCAAGCATTGTACAGCTTGCTTAATATTAATAATGTAAAAATGAGTGAAATTATAAATATTGCATAATTCAGTCACAAAAATATTTAGCATACACTACTATTTAATAGATAGGACAATGATAGAAACCATGCTATAGATGACTGGATATTAATGCTCATTAGAGCTGAGATAATATGCGAAGGGATACTAAAAGATGAGTCAAAGGACATCATTTTCATTGCCTTCTCCTCTCTTCATAGGTATACTTGCTGCTTTCTTGGGCTCATTCTGGTATATGTTCACTAAATTCATATATTGAATGCTGTTTTAACTTCAAAACTATTTTGTAAAAATGAGCTCATATAATAATGGTGGAATTATGAACTGATATATCTACTCTAGAGAATAAATTTCAATATTAAATAATGCTTTAGCCATCCATATTGTAGAGCTCAGCACTTTTGCTTAACCCTAGGTATATATGCAAGTGAACGTCACTCAAGTGCATAGGGGCGTATGCCTAAAGGTGTTTAATTTTGTTTGAAATAGGGAAACATTGTGTAAAACCCAAATAGACATCTGTTATGCAGCAATTTTTGCTGAAATGAAATATTCCATCCCAGAGGGAAGCTCATTAGGACTCAGAAAGTTCTAAAAGAAGACTCCTTAAGAATCAGGAAGTCACAACTCATAAATCTCAAGAAGTTCCTGAAACTTACCAGATTCACAAAGCCTGCCCCCGCTTTCCCCCTAAAGTTATGTAAGCAATAAAGACTGCTGACGAGAAGAGACTCTCTGGAAGAGAAGAGACTCCCTGACCTGCCCAACTGCCTGCAAGTTGTGCAGAGAGCTCCTGGGACTTCAGTTTCTGTATATAATCACCCATACTGGGATGGCTTTCAGTGATATAGCTGCATTTGATCATCTCTGCCCCTGTAATTAACCCTTCTCCCATATTCCTACAAATAATCCCAAACAGCTATTGGTTTGCCAAGTTGGACTTTGATGAGAGTTCTCTGGGGAGAAGAGACATTTGTGTAGTGTCTCCAAGAAAGTGTTACATACTTTTTCAAAAAGAAAACAAATAATATATTTTGTATATTTTGTATTAATTGTAGGCTAGAATATTACATGGAAGTAAAGATCATTAACCTAGAGCCTTGCGTAGCATTTATAAAAATGAATAAGAAAAACAAAATATTTCATGAGAAAAGCAAATTGTAGAAAGAACAGTGTAATAGCATGTTATGCAACTTACACACTATAAGTACACATAAAATATATGTACTAAATTGTGATACAGTATGTGTTTTTGAGGATGGCATATACAGAATTTAAATAATTGCCATTTCTTTCTAAAGAGTGAAGAAAGGATTTGAGCACTAGTAGCTGAAATTTAAACTACATCTGCAATATTTTACTTTTGTTTCAAATGATCAAATTTAAGACAAAAGATTAAGAATTATTTGTAGGATAGAAAACTGGAGATTGGTTATGGTAGTCTCCTCTTGTTTATTTAACCAAAGTTGTTAACATTTATAAACTGAAACATGGAATCACTGAATATCCTCTCTTCTAGCCTCTCCCCATCAGTTAATAACATACTTATCTATCATTTTTGTCAACTGAAAGTTTTATCAGGACATGACTTTTCTCAGAAGTTATACTGAAATCTATTGTTTAAGAACAATGTCCATATCTTGTATTGTAAGTGAAGTACTAAAATGTATTCAGGTAATATAAATTTTTTGAGTTGTTATTTTTTGGGCTTCTCCCTCTATTGAATTATAGCTTCTTAGGAAACATTATCCATCTATCATCTATCTTTATCTATCAATCATCTATGTATCATCTATTATCTATCTATCATTTATCTCTATCATCTATCATCTATCTATCAAATATCTATCATCTATCTATCAATCATCTGTCATCTGTCTACTTATCTTTATTTATCTATTTTTATTTTTATTTAATTTTTTGGTCTTTTTGAGACAGGGTCTCCCTGGATCTCACTATGTAGACCAGACTGGCCTCAGTCTCACAAAGATCTGCCTGCCTCTGCCTACTAAGTACTGGGATTAAAGGCATGCACCACCATGCTAGGCATATGAAAGTACTTTTTAAACTAAATACACTTCATATTTGTATTTGTAAGCTGGATGCCAAATACATACAAAACTTATAGTTCAGTTTCTCTTACAAATAGTTCTAAATACTTTAATAAGTTAAAGATTTATGAAGTCATCCACAAAAATGGTGATCATATAGAAACAAAGCAGGATCATACTTTTGGAATCCCAGGAAACTTTATGTGAATTTCATAATAAAAACAAAGAAAACACAAGCTGGAGTCATCTGGTAAACAGCCCCAACAGTTTTCTAAGACTAGGAAAGGTGAGGCATCTGGAATTGACACAAGGTGTGACACTCAGGAAGAATTGCTCCCCTCCCTCCCTCCCTCCCTTCCTCCCTTCCTCCCTTCCTTCCTTCCTTCCTTCCTTCCATCTTCTCCTGCCAGAGAACTATTGGGTACAAACTTTGTTTCAGTTTTAAAGAGAAAATATTTATTGATGAAAACTAACCAGTGTCCCTTCCGATATTACTTTTTTGTTTGTTTAAAAAAGTATTTTAATAAGCATATCAGAATGTCAGAAGGAGATGGGAGAAGGGACATATTTTACAGTGCAAAATTATTATGCATAAATTTAAAAACATCTAATTCATAATTTTGAATGTTTATTTAAATATTATTTGAGGGGCCGGAGAGATGGCTCAGAGGTTAAGAGCACTGACTGCTCTTGCAGAGGACCCGGGTTCGATTCCCAGCACCCACATGGCAGCTATGAATAGTCCTCAACTCGCGTTCCAGGGGAATCCGATGCCCTCTTCTGACCTCCACGGCATTGCACCACACGGGTGCACTCACATACATGCAGGCAATACACTCATACAAGTAAGATAAAAATAATAAATAAAATATTAAAAAAATATTATTTGAAATACATTTTAAAGCCCAACAGATTTGTGTTGAACTGAATTTACTTTATTCTGTTTAATGGATTTTGTTTTATCTCTGAAACAATTTTAATGTTTTCTGACAGTCTCTTTTGTGATGTTCCTTCTGGAGTTATTGAGAGAAATGCCTTCCCTTTCTCTCTTTAATCA